TGGCTTTTGGCATTTCTTACCGTTATGTGATATATTTACACTCTTCCTTGCATCTTCAATGAATATCCCTATTTTTCTGCATTTGTCTTAGTATTCATGTACCGTGTTCATCTTGATAAAGTATAAGTAGGACGTCTGGAACTCCTAACTGGCATTTAAATAGTTCTGCTTGCTGTTTGTTGACGAATTATTCTTCCTACTCTACCTTCCCTTTTGCCAATTTATGCTGATTGTATTTGTATTGTCATCGTTCGTCAATAATCAATAATTCATTGATCAATAGAACTATAGAAGTTTTAGGAAGCAACGCTGATCATAAGCTATAAAAAAAATCGGCTTATCTTGAATTCTAATTCAAAAGCATGGGAGCCATTTCTAGTTTAGCTTATTTAGCAATGAGCAATAGGGCACACGTGCCTATGCTTTGCTTGTTGGAACTTTGGACTTGAGGAGTTGGTTTTTAAATAGAAAGAGACCTTTTCCACCCCCATATTCTTTTTGCTTGATTGGTTCAGCCAAGGAAAAATACAATTTTAAGAGTTTGTTTACGTGTTATACTGGACATAAATATATCCTTAGAGCAAACAATATCACAGAAGCAAAAGATGATCTTGCCAAATATCTGCATGTAATATAGTTTCTTGGAATCCTGAAGAAGTTTAGAACTTGAAAATTGGTGGTCACTGTCTCACTGGCTTTGGCAATGGAAACTCGTGAATTTCTACTGAATTTGTTATCGTATGTGTCTTGTTTATATCATTATATGTGAATAAAGGTAAACTGTAGAATTATGCATGATGTGCTCTGTCCAGGTGGCTGAAAATGTTGCTTACTAGAATGCATTAGTGAACCTGTGAAGAGGAACTTAGAAGCTAGTGTAATATCCTGGGGCCCATTAGTCGTGAATGTTTAAAAAATTGGAAGCTAATTTTGCTACTGTACTTAAACCTTTGTATCATAAAAGCACTCAGTTATGGTTTTATTGTTTGTCATCCGATTTGCATGGTGAGAACCGGCCAAAATTCTTGGTTACTACTGCTAGACCTTGAAAGTAAAATTGCATGCCAGAATTGGAGTTCAGATATTGAAGACTTCAATTTTTTTTTTTTTAACTGTATGTAAAGAATTGGGTTATTTGATTGATCCTTCATTCCTTGAAGCACCATCTATATATTCATGGCTGTGGTTATGTATTGGTTTGTAGAGAGATTTGAAGCTATTGTATATATAACCTATATTTGAATTGTTAGTGTCAAATAAAAGCGAAGAAATTGTTTTCTTCCTGTAAGGTTTAAGTTGTTCCTTTCAGTTAGAATGGAAAATGATTGTTTGGAGAGATCTGTATGATTGTGTGGATTGACATCGGAACTCCATGACATAATGATTCTGGTAGATGAGTTTGCACTGACTAGTTATTATACTTTGTTACCCAGATTTTCCCCTCTTTTGCCATGTTATCAAACTGTGGTTTTAAAGATATATGAGAATGCGTAGCCATTTATTTTTATTATGCCTAGTTTAATCCGCACTCGTTGATATAACTTTATTGAGAGTACCGGCTGCAAAAGTTAATCATGAATTGCTAACTCTGAACCTGAAACGCATGGAGGCATAAGTATAACAGGAAAGTGTAGCAGGGAGTTTTCTGTCCAGCTAATAAAGGTGAATAAGAATCACATGTCTACTGTAATGATATTCAGTTAAAAAATTGTAAATAAAATTTCATATGAAACTAGTCCTCACTATGCCTGATGTCAAATGGGCATGAGCTGGCAACTTCTCCAGTTGTTGCGCTTTTCTCGTTTCCCATTTTTTTTCCCCAACTGCTTGTGGCTTCATGCTTTTGCTGCCATTGTCAACGATGCATTGTTATTGCTTTATTCAATGTTGTGGACTGTGTAGTCTTTCTCTTCATATTCATAATATACACTATATGATCATTGATCATATAAATTATCTCAGTAGTTGTTTTTAACCCCCTGTGGCTATTTCTTCCAAGTACGTATATTTATTAGTAGTTCATATTATAAATGAAACAGTTATGGTTCTAACAGAGCATGCGGTTTCTATATACTTGGCAGAAAAGAATGGCCTATACATGGTTCTGCGGAAGGAGTCGGAAAGTCATCTGTTGGAAGGCACCCCATTGGAAGTCAACCCCCCGCGTCAGATGTACAGTCTCTTTGGCCATTTGATTAAGAGGATAGTAACAGGGCACGAGACTTGACCCCAAAAAAAAAAAAAGAGAGAAAAAAAACCTGTTCTCTTGAGGCAAATAGCCTCCTTTTGGTAGAGTTTAGAATTACTGGATGCATTGTATCTTCCTTTCTTCTATGTAAGGGAGATTGATGTTTACATGCCTCGTAGCATGGATAGGAATACATGTTGGATGCCTATGCCTTTTGAGCCAACAGGTAACCAGGTGCCTTCCATTTGGTTCGAGTAATTTTTTGCTTCTTTTCTCCGAGGGAAGGATTTCCCCTTTTTGAAGGCAATGTTTCCTTTGGAGAATTGAGCTTGATGCGTCTCTGATCTTTTAAAAAAAGAAAAAGAAAAATGCAGCACTTGATGTCCTAATGAGAAAATGATACTAACATAGGTCTCTGCTGATGAGGAAATAAAATACAGCCCTATCTCCCATGCATTTTATCCGATAGCTTCCTCCTGTGATGGAGTGAAAGGATTATAATCTATATCTTACTGTCATCATGTAAATATCTTATCGACTAAGGTATATAATTAATTATACTGGGGTAATTTATTATCAGCTTCTAGTTGTCAATTTTGTTCGCTTCGAGAAGACATTGGATATCCGGCCTGTGTCTAGTTAGGATTGAATTTGTCTGTGTGTATTATGGTTTGGCCAATGTTTATAGTTCGGCTGCCTAGGAAAAATGATTTTAGGAGAGTTGAACAGTTAAGCCCATTCTTGCAAACACCCAATTGATAGTTCATTGAAATCTGAAATCTCTCCTCAGTCAGTGCACCGATTCGGTGTTGTCCCACATGAAAAACCAGATTCTGCCTTGTGTGAAATTGCTGGAGCATGCTTAACCTGCTGGGATCTCATTCATAAGCATGAGAAATGCAAAATCATGATTTGATCATGTTATGTTGACTTAGAACTCAGACCCAAACAAAATTTCAACGGATATCCTGGTGAATCTCAGGCGACAAAATTGATAACTGAGCCGTTCATGAATGATTTTTCATATTTTTAATTATTAATTAGTTATTAAATATGGTTCTGTCACGGAATATGAATAATGGGTTTGTTTTATGCGATAATTTGATTTGATACTGGCAGTTATTAGCAATGTATTGAAGATTGGATTGGTTAATAAACTGGTGGAGGCAATGGTTCGAGTTGGGTTAACCTAAGATTAGATAGATTATGAAAATAATATTTAAATTTAAAAAACATTAATCTATAAGTATATAGATTATTTGTGTATGAATTATACCTAATCCTATGAACGTAATTACTAAAGCACAATTTTAATGTACTGTTACCTTTTTTTTAAAAAATTCCATAAAAAAAAGCCCAAGTCTTCAAATCGAACCAATCAAATGATCAGTTCCTTGATTTATTGGTTTGATCATCTGACCGGAATAACGTTTTAATACTAATATTTCATCATGCCTAGGTATTGTCTAGTCGGTTTCAATTTCAGCATATATTAATACATCATCAAGTCGGTTTTCAACATATTACTTCTGGTTCAAAATATAAGAGCTAGTTAATTAATTTGAAGAGATTAAAAAAATAAGTTAAATTAGTTATTTGTAATAAATAGGTATTGTTTTTTTTTTTTATAAAATAATCTTGCTAATCAAGTATATTGGCTAGAACTACTATTATGAGAAGGCCTATCTTAGAAAAAAATGCGTAAATATGGGATACAAAATGGATTGAGGTCTTATATTTAGGACTAAAATAAAAGTCAAATAATATCTTATATTAAGGACCAAAGGTAGCATATTAAGACAAGACTAGATTGATCTTTTGGGGAAATTATACCGTTATGGTATTAAAACCTTATCCAGGTTTAATTTTCCCAAAAATGATATATTAAAACTCATACGATTCATTGTAATGTAATCAGATGGCTTCGAAAGCCGAAATGGATTTGAATCTTCAATGAGTTCACTGATTTCTTATTTTCCCACCCTTTTTTTGGCTGAAGTTTCTGGCTTGTTTAAGAGAAAATAGAATTCCATTCCCAGCGAGGACTTAATAATTACTTATTCCTGTCTTGAAGGTAGGGGTTCTAATGCAAATGATACAATAAGAATCAGATAATACTGTCTCCGGTCTTTTTTATGGTTTTAAATATAATGATCCAATCCACTTATCTATTTTTTTTACCTCAAGTAATCCTTATAATAGTTGTATATTTTAAAAAGTTACAATCAATTTATGATTCAAGCACACATAATTAATATGGGCATTTAGAAAAGATAACATGTATTTATTATAAATAATTAATTTTTTTTAATCTCATCAAATTAATTAATAAGTTCAAGGTAACAAGAAAGATAAATAAATGTGTAGCCTTTGTAAAAACTAAAAACATCCGACCTGCCGGATTCGAACCAGCGACCTAAGGATCATCTGTCAGGAAGTGTTCCCACTACAGTCCTCCGCTCTACCAACTGAGCTAAGGTCGGTTCTTGAAAGCGTCTACTTTGTTAATTTACAAATAGATGGAAACATCATCTTATAGCACGACGAATTCGAAGCCCAGACCATTCCATTTCATGGATCACTTCTCAGAGGAATCTGGCAGAAGGCACAGATATTGGGAAGGGCGTAAAGGGGTAGGAGTCAAATAATCTGTCAAATTAACGTAATAATACTCGTTAGAAAAGCTAGCAGAGATTTATAATGTCGCCTGTTCATCTTATTACTCTTTCGATATTTCATAAATATGTTAAATGAAAGGGCTGTGATTAGGCTGAGCGTATCACAGCCAAGCATTTGCTCTGATCTTCGAGCGAGTTTAAACTTGCCGTTTCTAGTGTTCTGTTCTCCTTTCTTTTATCCTCTGAGCCACCAAGGGCAGAAAAGGCTTGTAGTAGCCAATATTGAGAAACAATAACAAATAACAACAACAACAATGATAATAATAACAACAACTAAATCATAGGTCTTTGATGGCATCCATAAAAGCTGAAGATAGCACTAGCAAATTTTAATCCAAGACTGTTGTGATGACAACTCGCTTGACTGGGACAATTAAAGAAGAAAGGACAGCATGCGACAAGTATTTTGTGCAGTACGACGCTCATGAAGTTGATTGTGATACAATCTCCGATGGGGCAGCATGTGAAGGATCTTGCTCCAGCAGCACCGTATCTTGCTGGAGTTGCTGAGGTTCTCGTTGCCAGGTCCAAACTATGTCTTTAAGTGCTGGTCTAATGTCCTCTTTCAGAAGCTTCTGGTACTCCAATGTATCGCCACTCGACTTCTTAAGCTCCACCATATGGAAGAGTGGGGTGATCTCAAAGATTTCAGCATCGATACCCAAAACGCCTTTTCTGCCTTCCTTGGAGCCCTCCAACTTGAACAAACCTCCTTTCTTCTTCACTTTCAGTCGAAGGCGCTTACAGATTTCCTCTAACTTAGAGATGATAATTGCAGAAGGCTTGTTTGATGTAAACCGTGCCTCTTTTTTGTGATCAGTCTCCTCAAACAGACCAGACAAGTCAAAACCTGCAGACATTGAAATGATATCGAAAGCATTCATATTACAAGGTTTGGTGAGCTCTTGTTTTGCCTCTGCAACAGGACCACTGTTATTCTCACAAGCTCCAAATACACCATCAGCATCTAAAGGAGCTAGTTCTTTCTCGCTGGTCGCTGCGACAACATTCTTTTCTAATCCCTTTTTGAACCAAGAACTTTCCATAATTTTGTCCATTGATATCCGGGTGTTTGGATTAGGATCCAAGATTTTGGACAACAGCCGCCGTACATCCGGTGCAAACCAGTTAGGAAATTTGTACTGCCCCTTGCCTATCTTCCTGTACATTTCCATCAGATTGGAATTATGGAACGGAAGATAACCGGCCAATAAAACATACAAGATCACCCCACATGACCATATATCAGCTTTGGACCCATCATATCCTTTTCTGTTAATCACTTCTGGAGCAACATAAGCTGGGGTACCGCATGTAGTATGGAGTAAGCCATCCTGGTGCTTAGTCTCAGCAAGAGCACTTAACCCAAAATCTGAAACCTTCAAATTCCCATTTTCGTCCAGTAGTAGATTTTCTGGTTTTAGATCCCGATGACACACTCCTCTACTGTGGCAGTAGTCAACAGCACTGACCAGTTGCTGAAAGTATTTCCTGGCAACATCCTCCTTCAGCTTTCCTTTGGCTACCTTGTGGAAGAGTTCACCACCCTTTGCATACTCCATGACAAAGTAAATCTTGGTTTTAGTGGCCATTACCTCATAAAGCTCAACCACATGCGGATGTCTGACTAGTCTCATCACTGAAATTTCCCTTTTGATTTGATCAATCATCCCGACTTTCAAAATCTTCTCTTTATCAATTATCTTGATGGCCACACTCATGCCAGTAGCAAGGTTCCTTGCATGATAGACCTTAGCAAAGGTTCCTTGGCCTAATAATCTCCCCAGTTCATACCGTTGCATAAGCACACCTTTTGGTTCCATTTCTAATAGCTCTTGTACAATCAATGCTACTAAGACTAGAAGAATATATAAATAACTTATTTACCAGAAGCAGCAGCAAACTGCCTATGAAGAACTTCAAAGCTCAACCATCTTCGCAGAGATCATATTTTGACATCAAATGACCACTTAGATTTATAGCAGCCTCATGCACTTGAGCACGGAATAGACATGGACAGTGATTTAAACATCCAACCTCTTCAAAGATGAACAAGGGCAGCTCGAAAGGAGCTCTTGCCTTGTTAACATCAGATAAAGAAACTTTGACTTTCAAGCACATCTTTCAGCATTCCCTGGGATTTGTGATTACACTAGAGAATGCTAAAGAAGATGGACACCTCAAAAATTGATAAGTTATCAGAAATGGAGCGACGCTCAGTCAGATCTTTCAGCTACTATCAGCCAAAAGCGTATATACAATGGAGGGTACCTGAAAGAAAGATAGAGCATATTTACTTAATAGTTTGCGAACAATTTAGTCCGAGTAACCAAACTATATAAAAATTTGAGTTTGTAAGGCACATAGTACAAGCAGAATTCAATTCCAAAAATAGCCCTTGTTGTAATTAAATGAATCAGTTGATGACAAAAAGAACAGGAAGATGCCATTAAAAAAAAAAAAAAAAGGAAAATTCTGATCAACATAATTACAATACACTCGACCGAAAACCTCAAAGGAATAGGTGTGTTTGGATGAAACCAAACTATGGTTTGGAGAATAGCTTCTAGAGAATAGATTTCGGGAAGAATAGATTTTGTGAAGAATAGATTTTGTGAAAAAGTAATTCTGAGAAGTGAAAGTGTTTGGATAGTTGTTATCAGAAACACCTTTTATATATACAAATTACTAAAAAAGACATAAGTTAATATGATAATTACATAAAAAATAGATTTTATGATATATTTTAATTTGAAGGAATAAAATTGTTAATAATATATTTTTTACCAACATAATTAATAATACATAAGATAATATAATTAATGAATAATTAATACGTGTATATATATTTATAAGATATAAGATTAATATGTTTATAAAAAATTAATTGAGGGATGTTAAAGTCATATTATTATTGAGATCTACTCTGACAGGCACAATCATATTCTCCAATTTGAGCAAGAAGATTCACTCCTCCTGAAACCATGGTTTTGATTCCAAAACCATAATTTTGGCCCAAACTATCGTTTCAGATTATGGTATCAAAATTGATACTGTTTGGGTGACATTCCACCCAAACCATAGTTTTGGGAGTCACCCAAACAGGCCCTAAAAATAAGAAGAATCACAAGACACAAGCAAGAAAATTATCTTTTAAGAGGGATGCTATTAGTTAGCGAACAGAAGACAATTCACCCAGCCACCCGCTACCCTCTTTTAACACACCGGGGAAAACAAAGAATCACAACTGGACAAGAAAGGTTGATTGATTGGTACTCAGGAAAATCAGTCTATAACAGTGGGGGAAAAACCTTGATCAATGATGCAACGAACAATATTCTTGTGAACAATCATCAGCAGTAATAAAGACGACTCAGAAACACCCATGAAAATTTTAAAATGGAGATGAAAAGGTTAAAAGTGAAGGGAACACACTAAGCTTTACAACTCAAAAGAAGCAAGAAATTAAAAGAAACATGAATTATGAGGCAAAGAGCAAAGACATATAAAACAGAGTAGGTACCTGACGAAGAATTGAGAAAGGACGCGTGAAGGGAAAAGGAAGAAGGTGAAGGAGGAAGTAGTTGGAGGGAGAGAAGGAAAGAGAAGCGAATATTGAGGAATGACAGAACGTGAAATCAGAAATTTTGAGAAAACCCTACGCCCTCGGAGCTGCTTCCTTATACGCCTCAGATGCGCCAGCCGGTTAGCCTGACTGCCCCCACCCGCCACTTGATTTCAATTTTTTAATTAATTCCAGTTTGGGCCCAAGAACCAAATGCCGTCCAAAGCTTAAAAGTTAAAATACTCCTGCGACCTAATTTAGGTGAAATGGTGTATTAATAAAATTCAATAAATTAGTTTTTTTGCCATAAATTCAATAAATTAGTTACATTTTTATTTCTTTTGCCAAAAATAAAATATTTTCATATAAATTTAAATTATATATCAATTTATAAGTTAATTACATTATTTTGAGAAAAAAATAGTAAATATGAAAAATAAAACAAATTGATCTTTATATTTAGAATTTAATCCAATAAATTAAAAACTAGTCCGGACTGCAAGGTTGGGCTGGTCCGACCGGCGACCAAAACTCTCTTTGAGTCGGTGGACATAATTTACTTGCTTTGCTAGTTGAATCGTTCTAAGTCATTTTAAGCCGGCGCTTAAACCAGAAGCTGGTGTTAGCTCGAAATCAAAATGGTTTTGCAAAAAGATTTGCCTCTTAACATGTAAAATATATATCAAAATGATTTAAATTTAAATAAAACAACCCAAAAAGTATTGACTAAAAATTTTACACAAGTCGAGCGTGAATCACATAATTTTTGGTATCCCTATTGCTCCCAATTAGAGGGTAAAGTTAAAAATATTATCCATAGATTCTATATCAATGTATTAATATATGCTTTTTTTTTTCCTTTGACAACCAATGTATTAATACACATACATAAATAAATTCAGGAAAAAAATACCTCTAGTCTTTGATTTTTAAGTCAATTTTATTAAAAAGTAAAAAAAATTAGATAAGTTAATTTTTTACTAAAATACTGTCTTTTGTCAACCATTAGTTCTTAATATAAAAAGGAATAATTAATTTATTAATATTAAAAAATAATTAAGATAATTATTTATATCAAATATTTTTTAAATTACCTTAAATTAGTTAAAAAAAATATAGACCATCAAATAAAACTTAAAAGGACAAAAAACAAAAGAAGGAAATCAGTAACGTTTGGCATGCCGATGAGCAGTGAAGTTTCGTTTGGGTATTGCGCTTATTTGCGCATTAAACATTGTCCTTGAGGATGGCGACAGGAAGCGCATAGGAACGCGACACGTGGCAGAGAAAGTATCGTTATTAACGTCAAGGTGGCAGGGAGTCGTGAGAAGGGGACACGTGTCAGGAATGATTGGCGGTGAGGCCGTCGCAGCGGAAGACAGGTCATACGTCTCGGCTCGTCTCGCACCCTTCCCGTCCTCTTCGTTCTGGGCTCCTCTCACCATGTGGTCCCCTTACCTCTCGCCTCGTGGATCAGTTTGCTTTGCTCCTCAAAATTCTTAAATTTATTCAAGGACTTAAAGTACTAAAATGTTCATATGGTTAATGGTCTAATCACATATATTTTATATAAGTCACTGTAAATACACTAACTTAGCAAAAAATTTTAATTTTACCCTTATTAAAATTTTATTTCTCTCTGCATTTATAAATAATTTTTATATTTCTTCCCTATTTCTCTCCTATCAATAAAAATAAAATAAGGATAAAATTAGAAAACAAGTACTTTTCCAGTTCTTAATATAAGACATATTTAACTACTTTGATTAAATTAAGAAAACTAGTTAAATTAGATAATAATCATAAATATGGCATATGTTTTTCAAAATACCCTAAGTTAAAACTTCTTTAAAAAACTGACATTTCAAAACATGTTTTAAATTATTTTATTAAAAATATAAAACGGTATAATTGATGTATGTGTGGAATTAATGAGTAATAAGTATTCACTCACTTTATAAAATATATAGGTCTATTATTAATGAGTAATAAGTATTATTGTGTTATTTAATTACTTAATAGGAGTAATTTAAGAAAGAATGGGTAAATATGATAAATAGATCTTATATTTAAGATTAAGATCAGCCTTCTAATTAGGTTCTGTATTAAAAACTGGAAGAGTATTAAATATACTGCAGATGACTTTTAGGACCAGAACTTCTTCCTGCGAGCGATTTACATTTAGAACTGGAGAGGTAAATGCTTCTTTTTTTTTTTTTTAAATAATTGGTAGGTTGCAGGTTTAATTCTGATTAGTATCTATTATTCTAATCAGAAAAAGGATTCGTTAAGTAATTGCGATTTAGCAGGTGCCATGCATACTCTAAAGAAGATTAAGATAAATTACATTTACTCAAGTATATGAGCCCTTAGGTATTTTTGGGCGACAAATTTTGTAATAGAAAATTTTTGGCAATTTTCTAAATTATTTATTTGATTTGATTAATATTACCTTGTAAATAAGAAGTAATTTACTTTCAGCCGGTGCAATTTTTAACTTGTCTTTACTTATGTGTAAAATGGAATGGGTCAAGGAGCAATTTTAACCTCTATCTTATTTTTTAGATGCAATTTTGTCCCTAAACTTTTTAGTGGTGTAATTTTGACCCTGATTTTTTTAAATGTAATTTTTCCTCTCATGGTCAAAATTACATCCAAAAATCAGAGGCAAAATTACACCCCGAAAAAAATCAGATGTAAAATTACACCTAAAAAATAAGATCAGGGGCAAGATTATACTATTAAAAAATTAGGGGTAAAATTGCATCTGAAAAATAAGATCAGGGTCAAAATTTTACTTTAACCCAAATGTAATTGGATGCTTTGAAGAAGAGTTGTGTCAGGTGAAGATAAATAGCATTAGCTGAAGTGCCTGAATCGTTAAGTATTTTCAGTAATTTTTTAAATTATTTATTTAATTTGATTTCAGATTTAGTATTAGAAATAAAGCTTTAATTTTTTTTTTGGTCCGGGTCCCTTGATGAAATTTCTAGATTGAAAAAACATTTGAAAAATTAGTGAACCACAGACAAAGGTCCGAATCTTCTTAATGGCTTTTAAGCCACAAGTCACGCCATGCCATTATTATGATGAATCATGGAGCGTAAGAAGGAACTTTCTCAGCAAATATCTCTAAAAAAATAATAATTTAAATTCTGTTATTTAATTAATTGTGCCTTTCACTTTCAAGAAACATAGGCAGTGAATGAGAAAACATAGTAGTAGTAATAAGCAATTACTAAGAATTAAACAAATGTTATTTCCTGGAAAAATCTTCAGTCGGCCGATCTTATCTGTAAAAAGCAGACAAACCCGCCATGAGTACTGCTAATTAAAATATTAAAACAGTCATAATTAGCTTTTGATTAAAATATTCAAAATAGTAGTCACAACAAGCTTTTTATTGATTGATTGATTTATTTATTTTGACGATTTTAATTTTAAAACTTGGTGGGAGTTGGTTGGCTGTAGGGTTTATCACTTTGAAATGGTTCCACTTGCAGATAACCATGTCTTTTCTTCCAAATAAAGCCTAAAGTAATGATCATTTGGATTTATTATAAACAATATTAGTTGAGAGTAATTGCTTAAGCTCCAAGTCCTTTTTTTTGCTACTATTTTTTGTTTTTTTCCCTCCATATTTTCCAAAATGATCTCTCTGCCTGCATACTTCCAAGCAGGACATGACAATATTGGAATATATATTTATATCACTGGGCGCTCAAAATTGGAAGGTAACCTTTATTTCTTTAATAATGGGGAAAAGGTTACAACGGGGTTGGGTCTAACAGAAGGAGCTAATCTCCCATAATGTGATGAATCAAGGTTTGAATCCCCACTGGAGAGATACTTATATTTAGTACCAAAACCCAACAGTGCCTCGAATATGATTGTCTCTAATAGGAGGATATCTATGCTTTAGCAAAAAAAAAAAAGGGAAAAAGGTTGGGGACACTTGCCCAAATGTTTAGTATGTAATTATGGATTATTGTAAACAATACTCCAAAAATATGATATATACTCCATTCTTAATATAAGAGCTACTTTATTAATTGGAGTAAACTAAGCAAGTTAGATAATTTAATTAATTATAATAAATACTACATGATCTCCTTAAAATACTCCTATAGAATATTATATTATATTATATATTAATTTATAAATTAGGTAAATTAGTTTGAAAAAATTATAAATATGAGTGACTAATAGGATTGAGATGTTACATTTAAAATATTATCTCATATATTAAGCACCAAGTGGAGTATATATTTTTAAACGTGATCCAGTTGGAGACAATTTTCTTAATTATGATAAGATTCTTATAAGAGTATCATATGAGTCCCAAAAATTCTGGGTCTGCTAAATCTTAAAAGAGCCTTCAGTTTTTTCCTTCAAATTAATTTATTTTAGGTGATTCATGTTATAAAAATAAATATGAGAGAGAAGTTTTGTAGTCTAAAACACACCCAAAAAAAAAAAAACTTATTATGACGGGGCACTAAAACGGATGTTCCAGTTTGGGATCACAGAAATGATGGGCCCAACACAAAACACAGCACAGAGGTGTCCACCTAAGTTTTGCCTTCCTACAAAACACTCGCTGGAAATGCATATGCAACATGTTTGATTCTTTCCAAACATCTTACATAATGCTGCCTGATCTTGCTAATAAAAACAAAGTGCTAACTATAAATGTATAAAAATATAGTTGAAACCAATAATTCACATTTTGTTGGGTGTCTATTCACTGATTGATGAAGTTTATTTAATGTAATTTAAAGTTTTGAAAACATTAACTGATTTAACTAAATTTCTCATTCTCTGTAAATTTGTTAACGAGTCCTATTAGGGAGGAAGTACATCTTTATTTAACTAACTTATTTTTAAAAGTTTTGTTTAACATAGCTTAGCTCCATTTATTTCATTTCCTGTACCTAACAATATTGCCTTCAAGCTTCCTCATAGTTGATCAAACCCTCACCGTCGACATAACATAAGGGATGCAAAATATGTACCATTCATCCAAGGAAAAGAAACATCTATATCTATATTTATATTAAAAAAAAAAACATTTATGGACAATAGCGATTATTAAGAGTATATAGCAGATATCAGACTCCTAAAGCACATATAAATACAGGCTTTTGAATATTTGAAGCAGGTGCAGTAGTAGTGAAACAGCAAAATCAAATAGCAACCAAGTGATTGTTTGTAAATAATACAGAGCTAGAAGGTGGTGTGATCATCTTCAAGCAATTAAGAGTCGGAAAGCAAGGGGATTTCCTCTGTGGCTGCCTTGCATGCATGAATCACAGTGCATATATCTTTTGTCTCCAGAAACTTTCTCTGCATTCATTAGGATCACTGGTCCATACTCAAATACCAGCTTCTTGCACTGCAAATATAATTAGATATTAATGAAAGTGAAAAATCTATGAACTGGTAGAACTTGACTGCAAAAATCATTGGATATGCTTCGCTTAGATTAATATTATAAGAATCTCAGTTTGGTCCCTCTTGTTTTAATTGAATCATTCTAATGTTTAGAAATATGCAATCAATCAAGCCAATTTCTTTACTCCTTTACTCCACTCCACTCTATAGTCATTAGGTAAATCCAAAGATTTTACTTACCTTCCTGGAATACTTCTCCATGGAATTGCACACCTTCAGAAATGCCTCAATTATCTCCAGCTGTCAAATATACATAAATTATTAGTTCTTGTAGTTTGTACAACGAAAAGTAACTATCATCCACGCAAGCTGTCAACAACACACCTCTATAAATCATGCTACGCTTTCAGGGAATATTTTGCAGAATATTTCAGTATATTCACAAAAGCAGACATTAAACATGGGTTTCTAGTTATTTACGCCCAAACCATAGGCAGGAATTTTCTTAAATCAACAAAGCATAATTTCAAATAAATACTCCATGCGATGAGTATAAACCTAACATGCAAGTAATTGAACTGAGCTGACAAAATCATATGAGCCTCTCTTCTTGTTCCAATCCAGTTCACCAAAACAGCAACTTGGGCTCTCAGAACCGGAGCCCATTTTGAATAGAAATCAACCCTGTCCAGCCCACCTAAGTAGTTGGTTAAACAGGGCTGAGCCAGGCCAGGCCAATGTGCCAAATTGGACTGGGTCAGAAGCCAGGCTGACCCATTTTAACTCCCATGATTGAGCCACACAGCAACCATCGAAGCTGTTGGGAAAATTAGAAAAGCGCGGAACTTGAAAGTGTTCAAAAATTAGGCTCATATCAGAACAGACAAGATAAATTTTCACACCTCATACCCCCAGCAGAAGATACTACAAACCTGAGTGTCAGGATCCTCCAAACTTATCCATTAAATTCTGATACCGCTTCTTTGCAGAATCCACAGCTATCTTGTTGCACTTTTGAAGAAATAATTGCAATTTTCTCACAGAGATTGACCTTTTCGCAGAATTCTTCAGGCTGAATTGATTCCAGCTCTAAGAAGAATAGGGGAGCATAGTAGTCGACCAAAGAGGTGCACTGTGCAATACAGAAGAAACAAAACGAGTACTTAGTGCGTGATAAGTTCTCATTCGTTCATCTATTCACACTTTAGGTTCTAAGCAGTAAGAGGTTCTGTAAAAAATTGGTTGTTATTCAGTGAATGATTTGCAGTCATCCCCAATAGGGTAAAAGGGATTGCTTGTTGAATGTTGAAGTTCATAATTGGAAATCATAGTCAGCTTTCAATACAACTGATAACAAACTTAGGCATCTAAAGAGAAAAATCCTTTACCAACCTGCTGTTCAAAGGACTGCAGCTGGTGGCAAGTATTGTGAAGGTAATCCATGATCTCTCCCTGGGTTTGTTTTCTTTTAGGTATTCAAGTGCCTTGGCACTATATTCCTCACAAAGTGTACACACATCTGTTTCCTGGTTTGTTCTGCATTTAGAAGATATGTAAAGAGGATGAGCTACTCATACATCACTAGTAATTAATATATATATATATATAATATATTATATAACACTAATGAAATGAGACATTCGTGTGTACGTGTATTCAATAAGCAAAACATCAAAAGATACGAAAATTGTTTTTCAGTTAATTACATTTTCCTCTCTGATCTTATGAACTGGGAGTCCTGGTAATCCTCCCAGATTTTAATGGGAAAGTGTTGCAATTTTATGATCTGACATCTCACATGCTAAAATCACCTATAGGAGAGTAGTTAAGAGTTATTATGTATCTGCGTTTGGGCATTAGGCATTTTGGGTCAATTGGCATGTGTTATGGCTTGAAAAGGTAGGCTTTTGTGTATTACTTATTGTAAAGTTTACGAGGAAAACGAAAAGAAAGGGGTGTGGAAGATATTCTCAAGCATCGTATCAGCAGGCAACTTTTTTTTTTACAGTTGATATTTCATTTGACGGTATTATTCAATGTAACCCATCTAGTCACTGTTCTGGTTTCCATCACCCAAGAATTGAAAAAAAATCATCATCCTCGAATCTGTCAAAGCATTTCAAGCAACAAGTTTCGATGGAAATAATATTTAATAAGGATTAAAAGCACATAACCAGCAATTCTGGTGTGATGGATATATACCAGGGAAAAAAATTATCTCATCAAAGAACCAAGGAAGAGTAAACATAGAAGTTAGAACTTGACATTAACCTGGAAATGACGTTTTGAAAAATTCTAAAAATTTTATATGCAAATTTAACATGTGAGTCATGCCTAATATGTGTGCTCAACATGAATTAGTAAAAAAAATGACCACTTTTTAAAGTGTTCATGCCTCAACCGAGAGTTGAGATGACTCGTGAAAAATTTGCATAATCTTAGTGGATGACATACAACAATATCAAACCCTTGCCCCTTTTGTTTTTCACATCTCGGATATTAAACTATCGTTTAGATTGCTGCAAAATTTCTTGGAACAGAAAACTCCAGAATGTCATTCCTAAGAAAGTGATCAGACATGGGAATTTTTCACTCGTCATGCAACATAAACAAATGCTAACAGATCAGGAAACTTAAAAAGCAAGCAAAGAACATAATGAGGACAATTAACGATTTACTCTAAGAATCAGAGTTTGCAATGTTACCACTCAAAAGATCAGTATTAGCCAATTCTCTGGCATGACATGCCCAAGCAGCACCCAAGATAACTAGAAACAAGATCCCCATTCTCCTTTCCATGATGCCTGGAACAACCACAGAGTGCTAAGTCAACTTTCAATCAGGGAAGAAAAAAACATAATGAAAATTTAAGGGAATTACAAGATAAAACATAAAAACAGAGGTAACAACTTCCTGACATGTATATATTGAACTTCGATGACATTCAAGGTGTACAGGATAACCGAAAACCATATCACAATCATTCCGACGATGTGGTGTAAAGATCGAATCACCAACACAATCCTATTATATGAATAACCTATAGATTTCATGTCCAACCCTCAAGAGTTCACAAGCCTACCCTGAGAACGTACGAGATGAGACTACTTGACCTAATCTATCTCATCAGGTCATCATTATAGAACTTTGTCCAACTATGAAATCAATATGCAGTTCAATAGGTAGGTACGGCATATTGTAAAGTGAGTTGATAAAATCAAATAAAGCAAGTACCTGCCAAAAATAAACGAAGCTCAAGTTTCCTATAATCAATCAGCAACAGATTTCAGAGTTTAACTAAGAAGCAGGCTAGAACTGTTGAGAGCTAGGTCAACAGTATGTCAATATAGGTAGAGCAGTCACAAGTATGACTGAACTATGATTTATTAACATAATAATCAATTAATTTATCAATCAAGCGTGCAGACAACGGTAACTGATAGGGTAGTAGTATTAATTTTGGGGCTAATAACACATGAAGCCGATCAGCAAAAGGAATTGATGTCAGGTGAACAAGATTCGCACAAGTCAACCATAACCATACAAGCATGAAGCCAACCAAAAATAACGCGCAAATATAAATAAGATCGAATTGGAATTAAATTACAAGGGAAAAATATAAGGGGGCATGGAAATTCATAAACTTGAGCATCAGAATTGTAAGCCAGGGATAAAGTTCCTATTTTTGGGCAGATTTTCCTGGGAAACAAACCAAGCTAAAACTTAGAACACAAGAGAAAAGGGTTACCTCTATTAAAAGATGAGATACGGAAGCGAAGAGAAAACCACCTGGATTCAAAGAGAAGTGAAGAAAATAAGAAGGCAGGGGAAAGAGACTATTTTCTCTTTGAAAGTTGTTCCTTCACCTGCCTGCGTGAAGGAGATAGAGTTCGCTACTGTGGGAAGGCCCACAGTAGTAGTATTAATAGGTCTCATCATATGGCCACGTGGCACTATCAAGAAGCGGGATTGACTCTGACAATAATTGGGAAAAAAAAAAGAGGTAATTATAGAGCAAATATCGGGGTTTATCCGAATGTGCAGGCAGGATTGGATTATTCATGGGGAAGCTTCATCTGGTACGAAAGAAAGAGCTGGAAGATCGACAAGGCAAGGCATCGATTCAAATGGGATTTTTTTTTTATAAAAAAAGTAATCAATAAAAATATAAACAATTTCGTTGAGATAATAATCTGAGAATGATTTTCTCCCCTTTGTCTTGAGTTCTGATCCTGATTTTGTGGGGCATTGAATCTTATCTTCCAGTTAGTTGAGTTTGAATTTAAATTATTTTTATAGATAAGAAACAGATTGAACATATCGCAAAAAAAAAAAAAAGAAGAAGAAAAACTGATTAGGATGGAAAAGCCAAAAAAATAGCTAAAAAACTGTTAGATTAGTATCCACAACTGGTTGACTAGCAGCGGTTGGTGTGCGCGTGGGTTTCTGTTTGAAGCAATAATAATCTAATATTGGATTTTTTTTTAGCTGAAATTTAATAGGAAAATTTTTTAAAAATGGCCATTAAATTTTAAAATTTTAAATCAGGAATTACTAAAAAAAGTTTTGTTATTTACCTTTTGAATATAGACATTTTCTTTATGAGTTAGTAATCAATAATAATTTAAACTTTTAAAATGTAATAGTCTTTTTTTTGGGATTTTTCCGATCTAATATTGGATATTATCAGCATACATTCAAGCATTAAACTTGTGAGTGTGAGAAAAAAGCCAAAAAAAAAAAAAATTGTAGCGTTAATAAATACTAGTTTGGCCAAATAAATAAATAAATAAATACTAGTTGCATAAACATACTAAAAATTAATCTTTTGGCCATCAACATGTTAAAAAAACCATTTAATCTAAATCACCATATTATTACTCTTC